AGAATGACCTATCATGACTGCTGAACAATGGACTCAGGATGTTTTAGATGTTTGTATGACAAATACTGGTATCATCACATCTCAGTGTTACTGCATGTGTTGTAAATGAATGGGAGTGCCTGTGTTCTAATAACATTTTATTTACACAAACAGGCAGAGAGGCTTGAATTTGGCTTCTGGGGTCCGAGTTTGCTGTACACTGCTGTCCTGGAATCACGAGTCAACGATTCTAATACATCAGCAGTCATCTAAAACCAACCACTACAATTCTTCAAGCACCTGCCACAGACACTGAAGACTCGTTTATAGCACACTGAAAGCCTTTGATTTTACTAACACAGGGATGGGAAAAGGGGTCTGTGTTTATTAGCTGAATTTATCCCAATTAGACACAGATACAGGACAAATCTTCACTCTTCCAGAGCAGACATTTAGGTAGTGCACTGCGCATGGGCAACATCTACGGCAGAAACAGAGACTGCAAACCAATAGCCCATGCATCCTCACCACTGCTCTGCCACTGGGGCATCTCACAGTTTGTGCATCTGCTTCTGACAGCAGTTGCCGGAGCTGCCTGTCTGTCAATGCCACTGACATTGAGGGGCTCCGGGGAAACATACATCAGAGTGGCTCTTAGTTTTCTGGGGTTGGCCCTGGACTACACCAACCCCTGGTATAATTCGCTTGCTCAGTTAAGTTACTGGTGTCCAGAACAGGGGAAGAGGGTGGAAGGGTAGGGAGGAAGCTAAGCTGTCAGATCTCAAATAACAGAAAAAAGTTATCCGCCTGAGAAAGTCCCAAAGAAGATGGTGTTAGATAGTATTCATTGTTTCTACTTTGGTGGTTTTCCCCAATGTTGGGCAGGAGCCAATTGTCCTCCCACATCTGGAGATCATTTTGATTGTCACACCCAGGGAGTTGCTACTGATGTCTCATGTGTAGAAAATTCAGAGATGCTCAAGTCCTACCATGGACAAACGCCCCCCTCACCCCGACAAAGACTTATCCAGCCCAAATGTCATTAGCACCAGGTGAGAAGCCCTGTCTAGAAGGACCTCACTGCAGGATGATCTCGAATACCTCAATCACATAGACACAGTCCAGCTAAATTCCAGAAACTCAGCTCTAAAGACCATTCTGACCAACATGTCAAGTTGATTAGATAACAGAGAAAACCAGCAGTGTGAGTCAGACTTGCTGATGTCTCCTATTTCCTTGTTGTTTCTGAGAAAAAGACAAATTAAGGTTCACCTGAAATAGAAATCATTCTAGTTTGCTCCTATCATTTCTGTGAGATGTAAAGTCCTACGATTACACGCACATAGGGTGGTTGGAATTCTAACAGACTACTCTAGGGTTTTCGGTAACTTTTTAAAATATATATATTTCTACAATCTGAAAAACTAACACCAAATCATTGTCCCCTGGAGGAAACCTTATCTATGATATTTTTAGCTGTGTGCAAGAAATTAAAACAGCCAAAACCACCAGGCAAATTGAAAGCCTGTACATTTGTCATCCATGTGACTTCTTCCTGCCCATGGAAAGGTTCTATATGAAGAGGAAGGAAAAGGATATTAGTAAGCTATTCCCTTTTCCCCAAAGGTATAACATGCAATGCACAAAACCAGAAACTAAAACAGCATCTGTGTGACCTGTCACCTAACATGCACTGATAACACTAATGGGGACAATTTGTCGTATTTTTCCCCTTGGTCATTTACCTATACAACTCTGGAAAGGTTTCAAAAGATGACAAGTCAATGAGCAATTCTATTGCACCCTCTGAAAGTTATTTAGTTGATTTTCAACATGGGCTCACAAAATGGAATCTCATTTTTAAACCTCATCAGATCAAAAAGGTGGCATTTATTTAGACATAGTTTTTTTGTTTTGTTTTGTTTGTTTTTTTGTTGTTGTTGTTTTTGTTTTTGAGAGGTTTTCACTATAGGGTGTGTGCACTCGCCAGACAGACAGAGAGAGACATAGAGACAGAAAGCGAGAAATCATCCTCTGGGGGGATGGCCACGCCTCAATCCCTTCTCCTCCATTTTCCTCTCGGGATCTTGGGCATGCACGCACACGCGTCCAGCATGAGTTTAAGCCACCGGGTCTGGGACTCGAACCGCGATTGACTATGTGGGAGTCCAGCGACATAGCCATTAAGCTAACTGCTGGTCCCATATTTAGACATAGTTTTAAAAGTTCTCTTTCTGCCAAGTGGCGTACAGCCCTGGAGTCTGAGTTGAAGTGGGGGATGGGGAGATTTTAATTCCATTCCTTAATTTCCCATCCACTCTCCTACTCTTCAACCTGGTTCCACTTTCTGATACAATTTTTATCTAAGAGATTTGGAACCTGCCTTGGGGAGGCATGCTGAGCAAAAGACCAGAGGAGGATAATAAAGAAACGTCTACTCTCTTGGGGGAGTAGGAGGGATTCGAAAACCTTCCTAACACCCCCAATTTCTATGTCCATAGATCGTGCAGAATTAGCTTTGGTGAGAGATCTGGAGTGGTAAAAATGATTGAAATTGCTGCCATCACATAATTCAATAACATATTTTCCCCATGCTCAGTCTAAGAACTAAGCTCAGAGACCCTCCAGGTCTTTTCACTGCCATTCTACTTTTCTTTGCCAGTCTTTCTCCCTTGTTCAATGAATTGGTTTTGTAAGTTTCCAACGTCTCTCATGCCTTTAGTTCCTTCCCATAAACTCTAAAAGTTTATGGAAAATAGAATTAAAGTACAAGTTTATTTTGGTGCAAAGAAATTTTCAAATCCTGGGACCGGCAGTTAGCGTAATGGCTATGTCGCTGGACTCCCACGTAGTCGACTGCAGTTCGAGTCCCGGACCAGGTGGCCTAAACTCACTCCGGGCGCATGTGCGTGCGTGCCCAAGATCCCAAGAGGAGAATGGAGGAGAAGGGATTGCGGCGTGGCCATCCCCCCTGGAGGAGGGTGATTTCTCACTTTCTGTCTCTATGTCTGTCTCTGTCTGTCTGGCGAGTGCACGCGCCCTATAGCAAAAACCTCTCAAAAAAAAAAAAAAAGAAATTTTGAAATCCACAAATTTAATTGATATGTATTTTCCATCAACTTTTTGAAGATATCCCTCCATATAAACAAAGTATTCAAGTTCTCTGATTCTTTTTTCCTTTTTTTTAATTTGCCAGAGGGCATATAGGCATGCATGCCAGAGAGAGATGGAAAGCCAGAAAGCCCCCCACACCACCCCATGGCGATGGTCACGCCACAATCTCCTCTCCTCCATCTCTTCTTTCAGCATTTTGGGCACACCTGCATACGTGCCTGTGTGTCCATCAAATCAACAGGCCCAGGACTCCAACTGCCTAGCCAGCTATGTGGGATCCAACTGCCCCAACCACCACACCACTGTTTGGTCCTTGCTGGATTCTTTTTTTTGTTTTGTTTTGTTTTTTGAGTTTTTTGTTTGTTTGTTTATTTTTGCTATAGGGTGTGTGCTCTTGCCAGAAAGAGAGAGATAGAGAGAAAGTGAGAAATCACCCCCCAGAGGGGATGGCCATGCCTCAATCCCTTCTCCTCCATTCTCCTCTCAGGATCTTGGGCACGCATGCACACACACCCAGCGTGAGTTTAAGTCACCGGGTCCAGGACCTGAACCACGGTCAACCACGTGGGAGTCCAGCGACATAGCCATTACGCCAACTGCTGGTCCCACCTGGATTCTTTTAAAAAGAAAACATACATGTATAATTCCTGTGTTTCAACTCAATCTACACTAACTGAACCCACCGATGCACGCGTTCAGGAATCGTCACCTGAACGTTGCATACTTCAGAGCCTGTCCTTTGAACACAAGGCAGAACGCTGTCTCCATCTCACCTAACCTCATTCTTGTATCTCATCTACCTTACACATCCCAAATACGGACCAGTGAGGCCCTGAGCCAATGACTACATGATGCCATGCCCTCTTCCACAGGTCAAGTCTGCTCTGGATACTCAGTGACTGCAGAACAGTTGTGGTGTGGGCTCTCCAAAACACAGCATGACCCAAATTTCACCTGCAATTTTTGTTTTGTTAGTATTTATGTATATGTATTTTATGTGTGTATATAAAGTATCAGGAAGATACAATTTTTAATTTTGATTATCTAGAGTAACAGACTTATGTGTAGCATTCTCCCTTTTTCTAAAACAACTTGTTTGCAGCTTCAGACTTTCTCTATATTAAGCATAACTTTTGCTAAAAGGAAAAATGTTATATCCCATATGTATATTGTCTTATTCCATATCATTTCAAAAAGAATTTGAGACACTTAAAGGCAACAAGCACAAAAACACTGCTTTCAAAGTGCAGGAAACTGAGACAAGGATAAGAAACAACACAAACATCTGAAGAAGCCAGGGTTAAAGCTATTAGCCACTACCAAAGTGCCAATGTCCTGTGTACTGGCTAAAGGGAGGAACACATTTGGCTCTAAGTTTATTGGCATCCACAGAACATTCCTCCTCAGCCTCCTCACCTCACTCCCATCAGCCCTAATTAACTGTTGTT